AATTAACGCAGACCTTTCTTTGTCGACAAGGTCAGACTGACAGTATGAAAATAAGCCACAGTCCGACGTAGAAACGCGTAAGTTTTCTGAGACACCCTAAGTCTGTCATTATTTTCAACGATTTGTACAAAATTGCGAAGATACCAAGGATATCACCCCTAGGTCCATGAACCCTTCTGAAATATTCCAAACTAACATAAAAATATTCATGATTGGTGGAAGAACACTCCAGGATAAAAACAGGCCAAGCACTAATTGTAAGACAAGACAATATAGCCTAACTTACTTTTGTAATTGAAAAGGACAATAAGTTTCAGTTAGATTTATGAATGAAAATACTGAAGGGACCGTGAGATAAGGGAAGAGTGTATGATGAAGAGAGGAAGAGAGAATGATTGAAAAGATAGATCGAGGAAAAGAATGAGAGATAATGAGAAATAAAGAAAAAAAGAGAGAACGAGAGATAAAAAGAGATAGTAAAGGGAAGGGGGAGGAAGGGAAGATGAGACAAAGAGAGAGCAAGTGAAACAAACCCACAGAAAGAAAGAGCAAAGAGAGCAGATATAGACAGGGAAAGGGAGAGTGACAAATAGACATAGAAAGCAGCTATGAAAGAAATATATACAATGAAGTGTGAGGAAGATAGACCGATAAATAGGTAGATAGATATAGAGATAGAGAGAGAAATAAAGGGATGACAGAGAGAGGTAGAGGGAACGTGTCAAAAATAGAAAGAAAGAAGTAAAAAGACAAAGAAGGATGACAGAGAGATCAAGTTAAAAAAGATAGAAAAAAGAGATAATAAAGACAGAAAGGAGGTGAGAGAGAGAGAGAGGAGAGAGAGAGAGAGAGAGAGAGAGAGAGAGAGAGAGAGAGAGAGAGAGAGAGAATGCAACGTCCAAAACATTGTTATAAATAATTGTGATCGGATGTTTATAGAATAAAGCCCACTCTGAGTGGATTATTACATTTATTATGGTCAAAAGGGCCGGCCGAATCCGACACGGATTCCAAATCCGTCTGGTTGATTTAATATTGAATTGATCAGACGTATTGCCGTTTTTAAATATTTATAACGTTTGATATATCATTTAATTGTTCTTTTGACCCCCTTGTGACGCAGGAACGGTTGTAAATAATTTGGAATTTTAAATCGGCCGTTTCCCGCCCGGTGATCTTGACCCACAATGGACAATGACCTCCATAACGCAAAATGTCGCCTCCTGTTTTTACCAAATCTGTTTCATTTTCGTTTTCATGTCACAAAAGTAAAAAGGTTTATAGTACAGTCAGTTAAATTTTATTGACTTTATTGTCATTTTTAATCATAAGTTCCAGTTTCTTGTGAATTATATTCAGCTTTTTTGCTCGAATTGCTTTGCTCTCAACCTTTGTGCTATGCTCGTTGTATTCTTGTTTCACGTGAATTCTCTCTTCTTACTAACCTATTTTCTTTTCGGATTAGTGTTTTATTGCTTATTTAGTTTGACACGCTTAAATCATGGTGGGCTAATTTAAATTCAAAATTAGAGCACTGGTTAGGTTCAAAAAAGACTTTTCAGTACTAAAAACTTTGTTATTACGTATATATTGTACAAATTGTAAAGAAATATATATTAAAACGGCTTTCCTTCCTATTCTTTCTCCGCTTTATCTCTTTATTTGCTCTCTTCCTTCTTTCTGTTTTTCAGTTGGTCTCTTTCATCCCTCTCTTTATTATTTCTTTCTTTCTATGCTTAAAACATGCAGTCTCTTTTCTCTTGCCCTTTAAATGTCTTTATTTCTTTGATATCTGCTGTCTTTCCGTTCTTCTGTCTTCCACTTGCTCTCACTCTCTTTCATTCCTCCATATTTACTGTTCTATCTTTAACATGCTCTCCAACTCATTCAATCAATCTTGCTCCCCTCCCTCCCACTCTCTCTCTTCCCTCCCTCTCTCTCTCTCTTACTTCTTTCTTTCTATGCTTAAAACATCCCTTAAAACATCTCTCCCTTTCCCTTTAACTTCTCTCTATTTCTTTCACATCTGCTATCACTCCTTCTTTATTTATTTCTTTCACTTCCTCTTTTTCTCTTATCTTCTGTATTTTCTATATCTTTCTTTTTATCTTTCACATGTTCTCTTTCTCTCTCTCCCTCTCTTTATTACTTCTTTCTTTCTATGCTTAAAACATCTGTCTCTCTCTCCCCCTTACCCTGTCTCTATTTCTTTTACTTCCTCTCTTTCTCTCATCGTTCTGTATTTTCTATATCCTTCTTTACATCTTTGACATGCTCTCTCTCATGGTCTATCTCTCTTTCTCATTCATTCAATCAGGCTCTCGTTGTCACTTTTTCTCCTTTTTTTCACCTTCTCTCTCACTCAATTTTTTTCTCTCTCACACACTCAATTTCCCTCTCTCTCTCTCTCTCTTTAACTGCCTCTCTATTTCTATTATATCCGCTTTCTTGTTCGTCTTGATTTTACTTGCTCAATATATCGTTTTGTTCTCTCTCTCTCTCTCTCTCTCTCCCTCTCTCTCTTTCATAAAACTAAAGTACTTACTTTTAAATTATCTGTCCTTATCAATCACTTTTTCTTTACTCTTCAAGACAAAAATTATCTCTATTCGGAACTTCCTGTATGACTCAAATATTATTCACCTCTTTCCTCTTTATCTCTCCCTTTCAATTCAAATTTGCAAATATCTACATTCAAACTGTGGAAGTATGCCGTGTGCTCTGACCCAGAGTTCCAAAATTACCATTTTCTGAAATGGAGAATCGGTATAATATTTGCCGTCCAACACTCTTTGACAATACGTAATGTTATTCGTTGTTATCGCAGGGGCAAACATTTTCAAAAATGAGGCTAAAATCTAAAGAAAACGACAATTTTTTTTTCTTTCTCGTTTCTATTCTCGTTATATAAAATGGATGAGCGCATGGCGGCGGCTAAATTCGATCCTTTTACGTCTGGAGCGATAAGGAAAAGAACATTGTAAAATAAGATAAACCTTGTCTTCTTGCACAATCGGGTTGCTCAATATCACCAGGAACGTTTATCGTATACGATTAATAAATAATTGACATTGTTAATTATTAGCGTTCTATGGTCGTCCAGTACGGTTTTCATCGCGACGTTTCTAAAAGACGAGAGGGGAGCGTTGAATTCCTTAGAAATTGACGTTTCTGTTTATCCTCTTATTGAAGTGTCAGGTTGGAGGGAGGCAATGTTCTCTGAACAATGCATCGCCCTTCTGATCTGTCTGCGATGCCTTTTATCTCCGCGAAGGGTGTGTTTAAGCGATTCCTTAACAAAAACAGCCTTTATCGCATTCAGGAAGACTGGAGTTGAGGACGCGAAGGGGAGAAAAGGTCACATTAGATGTTTTAAAAATCTTAAAAGACAGTCGGAATAAATTATTTGTAAAAGATCGAAGGTAAACACATCTGGTGATATCCAATTTGGAAAAGCTCAACTTTCACCGCTTGTCACATTTCAAAGGAATCGGCAGCAACCAATAAAGCATACCAAAGGGGGAAGCGGTGATTGATGCGTTCCATCATGGCTGACATCTCAAACTTATCAGTTTTCAGTCAAAATCACGTTGATTAATACAATTTTTTTTCACTAGTTAAAGTAACCTTTTACGAGAAATGTTCAACTGACGGGTTCAAAAGTCCAAAAAGCCAAGTAAGAAGAGTTCAATTAACAAATAACACAGAAACGCTATAGAGAACCTTCACTTGAAGACTGCTCGTTAAAATGGGGGATAAACAGAAATTTATTTTATTTAAGTGTAAAGGAAATTATAAAGACAGCCGGTCGAATCCATTAACATGTAGTACGTCTGGTGATAACATATTTATATTAAAATTTATATGAAAACATAAAACAGGAAACCGATTAAAAAAGCCTAAAAAGCGAGTCTAGACGGACCCCCCCACAAAAAAAAACCCTGAGTAAGCTGCAAGAAGTTTGAAAGTGTCTTCTCCACCATTCATGATTATTTTTTGAGTGACAGAAAGATTAGACGACCAAAGTGAGAGAAAACTGTGTAAGACTCTAAATTTTTAGGATCTCAGATATATAAGCAGCCTGATAATCCGTAATCGTAAGAGCTTTGGTTTCGTAACTGATATGAGAAAATTAAGCCAAAATAAGTGCCCAAAATAAAGTCTTTTCAAGCAAGCTGAAAGGAGCAACTTTTGTTGGGATCTACACCTCGTCATATAGTCAAACTCAATCTACGTAATCGTAGCTCTTCCAGCTTAAAAGATAGTAATAATCTCAAGCACGGATTACAATAATACGTGAATGAGATGATGAGATATGTGCCAAATAAGAAAACATAGGCGGACCCAATAAACGTTTCGTTGGCATCTGCACCTCGGCATATAGTCAAACTCAATCCATGATTAATCCTGAGCTCTTCTAACTTAAAAGATAGTAAGAATCTCACGCATGGATTACAAAAAAAAAGTGAATGAAATGATGTCCAGATATGTGCCAAATAAGAAAACACTGGCGTACCCAATCAACGTCACGTTGGCATCTGCACCTGGGCATGTAGTCAAAAGCAGATAGCCACAATAAATACTAAACTTCTCTACATTAGAAGATAGTACGTATATCAAGAACACACACCAAAAACATGAATGATATAGACATTTAAGCAATCATATGTGGTGTCAATAAACATGAGAAAGTTGTGAGAAGTAATGTTTCGTTGGCATCTGCACCTCGGTATATAGTCAAACACAATCCACGATTAATCCTGTCCTCTTCTGGTTTAGACGATAATAGGAATCTCAAGAACGGATCAAAGAAAAGCGAATGAGCTGATGTTGAGATATATGCCAATTAAGCGGGACCCAATAAACGTGAGCTAGCAGTAAGAAGCAACGTTTTGTTGGCATCTTCACAGACAGTGTGTAGTAAAAATCAAATCTACGATTTATGATACCTAAGCAGAAACTCCACGAAAACTATTATATTGAATGGTATATAGACTCACGTATCCATGTCGTCGATCCTCGTCCTGTTGTACGTCTCGTGGAAATCAACCAACTCCTTCAGAAGCCCTCTGGACACCATGTCGTCCACCCTTTCGTCCAGCCGCTTATTCAGTACATCCTGTAAACCAAACGTAATAAGTTCAGAAACATTCCAGTTCACAAGACGGCCTAGCCCCTCGTAGGCGCATTCTTTGAAACGAGGATTTCGATAAAGGATCTCGAGCACGATTGTTCAGGACCGGTCCTCCTATCGATTCGCCGTTTAAATATTTTACGATTAATGACAGACATTTTTAATAAAAAACTAAATCGTATCAGTTCCATTTCCAAGGCGTGTTGCGAAATTTACAATTTCCTGTCTCACGTCGCCTATAATTATAAAACGGAGTTTGTTAAGATATTATGCACATTTGAAAACGCAAACGTTGAGAACTCATTTCCCTGATTATCTTGACTTTGATCTAATACGGATTGTAATGATATCTAATTGACTTTGCACTCTTCTTATTTGAAATTAACGATTGAATAAATAGTAAAGAGATTTTTTTTTAAATTTATTACAATCTGCAATTATTATTTACAATATGTAATTTGCGGATACATGAACAACTATATATATGTACAACTATTTACATTGAGGGGAGAAAAAAGTCAGTGCTATCCTCCCTCTTTTTTTTTTTTTTTTTTTTTTACAGTTCACTCGGAAAGGAGGTCGCGGGGCCATTTCCTCTTAAGACGCCTTATGGGGTTGTAGGGATGGGTTCTATCGGACAGGGCTTGGGCAAGACTATTTGGATGGTGAGAAAGTTTTTTGTGAAAATTGGTAAATTTTTGGGGAATAAATTTTTGGATATAAGGAATTTGAAGGTCGTTGTGGAGGGTAGCATTGGAGACATAATAAGGAGCATTTACAATGGATCTGAGGACATTATGTTGAAAGGATTGGAGGCGTTGGATATTGGAAGGTTTAGCGGTTCCCCACAGTAAAGAGATAAACACAAAACTGTACTAGGGTGGGGCTTGGTTGCACTATTGTACATCTTGCCATCTACGTTCACTTGGAGTGACTGTCCTCTTTACCTCTGCTTCCGATGGCTTCGGGTAAAACATACTACAGTGTACTCCTAGAAAGTTTCGCCACCACACCCAAACCCCAGAGAGAGGTTTTGTACGTATGGGTTGCCAGCAGAGAAATTTCAGCAAATATCAAACTAAACACATACGAAAGAAAAAAAGAACAACAATACAGAAGTAAAAACCATCATTAATCTAATTTAAAAAAAAGAAAAAATAAATCAAACAAAACACAAAAAAGAAACAATAAACAATGTGAACGTTCAAATTACGTTGACTTTCTTTCTTTTTAATAGGTTAGTTGATTTTTACAACTTCTGTATTGTGTTATTTTGTTATCTCTTTTGTCTATGTTTAGTAGACAATGTATATTTTGTCCAAAAAGTTGAATTATTACATTAACCCAGTTCCCCTTTTCACACGGCCACCACTTTTTTCACATTTAGCATACAATTGGTTCAATGTAATTAAAGAAAAGGGTATAACCCCTTGAAAGCTTATTAAATGAAGAAGGTTTTAACAAATTTGCCAAGTTCTACCATGAATATTTCCGATGAAGTTGCATTTTTTTTAAAATTTCAAATTTAGTAGTTTTTGAAAGATTAGGTGTTGCTTTTTTTAACAAAAATTTAATTGAAAGTTTTAGAAGGGTGCCTTCTTAAAGGAAATTTAACGCTCTTTTCAATGCTTTGTTTGGATTTCTCAAAAAGTTAAAAGTTAAAGAGCTACTTGTAGATTGATAACAAAACCGTAGATAGTTGAAAAAAAATATGTTGAATATCTGCGGAAGGGCTGGAAATCGGATCATGTCGAACGAACTTTTTTGTTACTCTGGAGGTGTGAAATTCACTAGCAAAGTTTGTGACTCGAGTAGCCTGACATCGTGTATAGAGAAAATGAGTGGTCTAAGTACTGCTTAAAGTAGTTCCTCCTGAGTGATATTATTATGGCTATAATATTCTCTTCTGAAACTGATAATCCCACATTGTCCACCGGTGTCTAGTAGTACCTACTGCATACTAGCATACATAGTGATGTAGTCTGTTAAATTGCGATATTTTAATCCCCACTAGATTTTATTTAATCAAGACGTATATAAAGAGAAAAGAAGTGGGCTAAGTACTACTCCTTGGGAAAGAACTTTGGGTTGTGCAATTTTCCTTCTGTTGGATATTACCATGGCCGCACTATTTTTCTTCAGAAACTGATAATCCCAGCTTATACTCTGCGGTCTAGTAGTTCACTGATGCGCCCTAGCATAAATAGTGATTCGTCCGGCATATTGCGATATTTTAATTTTCACCAGTAGAATTTCTAAAATCAAGCTGTATATGTATAGAGAGAGGAAAGGAGGGGAGAAAGTACTGCTCCTTGGGGAACCTCGGTGGCCCTGAAGAAGTGGGGTTTGGTTAACTATCGTCAAATATAATTGTTTTGTCGAGATGTTCTATAATGTCGGGTGTCATGGCACCGAACATGAACAACAAAACTACTAACGATACTATGGCTCTTGTACTTTTTTTTACAAGTTATATTTATTATAGTTCCAGTTTTGCAAAAGATTGTTGATAAGAGAAAATTAGGCTTTCTTCCCAGTCGGCCAAAGGAACGTTGGAACTTTTTAGGTCGTGTTGGCGTGAGGGTTGTTTGACTTATTGAGAAATTAGATCATGATTGAATGAGAGAGGTGTTTAGGCCACGGCTTACTCGGTGGGAAATCGCACTTTCCGTGGGCGTCTGAACGATTCAAACGCCGATCGTCGACCGAGAAATTTCCCCTTCGGATTTTATAAAATAACGATCTTTTGAGCCGAATGTGTGAAACCTGTTGAGAAAGGGGGAAAAAAGGGGGCGGAAATTCTTACATTTCGAGCCTTTGAGTCGAGTGGAGCCCTAGAAAGTAGCCCCCCTTCGCGTTTTCATCTCGCACTACCAGGCAGACGTCGAATATAAAAAGGAAACAGCATAATTGTCGAGATTTGAACAGTTTTCCGCTGTAAACAGGGTCGTAAAAATTTTCGAAAGTGTAAGTAAATCGCACGAGTCGGAGGGAGGTCTTCGAGTTGCCTGGCTGCGGCCCAAAAGTTTTGTCGGAGGGGTGTTTCCAAGGAGGGCATAACCCCAAAAGAAACACATCGATCCTGGCCCCTAACTGGCTTTTAGCCGGTGTGATTAACCGTCGCGCAATTTGATAAATAATAAAACTTTTGAGGAGAAAGTTACACATTTTCATATTAATATGTGACTGCGTCCGCCAAGGCTCGTAACTAACTGACAACTAACTTCATCATGCCTGTCAGTCACAAGGAGGGCCACCTAGCTCGTAAGAAAGACGTGACACTAGTCTGGCCTTTAGGCGCCATTAATCGGTAATTAAGCCCATGGAGACACCAAGATATAAAACAAATACATGCCATGACCGATTCTATCCTGATAGGCAAAAAAGTGGCAACCCTTAATATTTAAATTAGACGATCCTCCATTGATTATCTTATAACAATATTTAGTCCGTTTTAAAGGATTAAAGGTAAATAAAACACAGATAAAATCTCCCACTTGTGTTTACAATTGGATTTTGTAAATAAATCTTTGAAAACTGAAACTCTTCTTTGTTGGTTTTTCTGTAAAGCTTCTTTCTAACAGTCCGCTGGCTAGATTTTTTTCAGTCGTACCATTTTCACGGTTGTTTAAGTGATGCAGATTCGGCTAGAATCACAAATGAAAGAAGTCAAGCGTATGAGATGGTCGTTTTATTATTCTTTCGAATGTACTCTATAATCGACATTGTACCGATGTTGAGATAAAGCAACTATTTCAACAATTTATAAATGTTAATGTCAGGTTATTGTCTGTACGGCGAAGACTTTCAGAAGGTGGATTAAGTGCGAGAGGGCCTGCCACTGGTCCAGAACTTCTGATAAGGCACAGACAGCTCGGTTCAGTTTGGAAAGAAATCACATCAATTGGTCTGAGCAAGAATGGACTAAAATCTTGTTTTCGGATGATTCAAGGTTTGTTTGAGATCCGACGGCCGAGAAACGGTTTGGATTAGAACAGTCGAGCGATATATTCCCGCAACATTTTCGCTCTGGATAAGCTATGGAGGTGATTGTGTTTTTGGGCAGCAATTTCTATGGAAGGTCGCTCAAATTTGATCTTCTTCGAAGGTTCCCTAACATCTGCATTGAAGAAGCGTTATCAGAAGAAGTTGTTCCTTATATGCCAGTAATGACGACGGTTTTTTTAATGCATGACAATGCAAGGCCCCCCACACAGCTAAGATCGTTGGTGACTACTAGGAACGGACTTCAACTGAATGTTTAAAGAGGACAGCATATAGGCCCGACTTAAACCCTACCGAACACCTTTGGGACCAGTTGTCAAATTACTCTCTTTGGTTGCCCAGTATTGCCAGAAAATTTGCAGTAATTAGAATGGCACTGTTGGAGGAGTATGCAATTATTCCACAGTACTGGATTCGAACCCTCATAAAATCGTGTTACGTCGGAAGCAAGCGGTGATCAACGCAAGAGGATGTAATACTCAGTACTGAATTGAATATTATTTCGAAAGCAACATTTTTGGTAAAATTGTTTTACTCAGTTTAGTTTTTTATTTAGCTGTATCATATTTTTTTCTTTAAAATAAACAGTAAACAACAAAAAATAAAATTATACCGAATGCAAGTATTTACTAAAACGAAACGAGTGTGGCCATTTTTTTTCCTTTCAGTGTAGGTCGTTTTGTGTATCGGTAGACTAAAAACAATACAGAGAAAGCTTAAACAAGAATAAAAAAAGGGCAATTGATAATTTTTGAAATGACAAGCCTTTTTTTTGTTACGATGAATTGCAAAAAATGCTGGGTGCACAGCATCTGTACCAACAAAAATAGACTATTGATTCTTCATCTGAGTAGTGATTTTTTCTTATTAAGATGCTGCAAATACAATTCAGTGAAAGCTTGATCAAGACCCAAAAAGGACAATTGATGATACTTGAACTGACAAGCAGTTTTAATGATGAAACTGCAAAAAATGGTGGA